TATTGCAAAAACCTGTAGATGAAATTAAACTACTGAATGATGATTGTTCACAAACTAAAACTAATTCTGATATACCTACAACCCAACAGAGTTCGGACATACAATTAAATAACAATTTAAACTGTTCACAATCCACTTCTTATGAAATACCAGATAAAGCTTTGCCGCGGGTAGAAGTTGATTTATTTTCTGATTCTGATAAAGATTCTATTAATTCAGATAAATTTAATTATGAAGAAATTAACATTACTTCGGAAAATGACGAATTGGAAACAAATAGTGTTGAACATTCAGATGACCCAAGTGACTGGCCACTAAAATTAACCGACTCAATTCGAATATCACTTATAAAAAAAGGGCCTGTGCAAATTAAAAATTATTCTTTTCCGAAAAACCAATTAAATAGGAAATTTTCTGATGTTTATTATCAACAAATTTTGAATAATGGAGAAAAAATAGAAAGATCCTGGTTGGTTTATTCAAAAAAAAATGATGCTGTGTACTGTTTCTGTTGTATGTTGTTTAGTTTTAAAAAAGATTCAGGTATGGTCTCTGAATGTGGATATAACGATTGGCGTAATTTAACAGGCCATTTAAAAATTCACGAAACCTCAAAAACACAATTTCTTCATTTTTCAACTTGGCACGAAATGGTTATAAAATTAAAATTAAATCAAACTATTGATTCTCATAATCAACGTAAAATAGAATCTGAAATAAAACATTGGAGGTCTGTTTTAGTTCGGTTATGCGCTATATTACGTTGCATGGCTGCGCAAAATCTTTCAATCCGTGGAACATATCACATACATATATTATTTTTGTATTGACTCGAAGCACCGTCACTAAAATAATGATTTTTTTTTACAAATGGAGCTGTTAATCTAATGTCTTGTATAAGGTGATTTTGAAATGTATGTACAGCAACGGTATTATGTTCCATGTGATCACTAATTATGCATATACATCGACACTTAATTATATTTTCTATTTTATAATAATAAACAAAGGGATGAAGAGTGGCTTATTTATTAACCAAGTGAAAGCTTTGAATTTCATCCTGTACAACAAAATTATAATTTTCTGAAAAATAATAATAATTTTTCTTCTTCATTATTATGATCAGCAAATGAAGATTATCATAAATCAGTGTATGGATCTTTTTCTAAAAATGTAATTAATCTTGCTAATCTATATCAGAATAAGATTATCTAATTAGATATCTATAAAGACAAACAACACCAAAGTATTAGATTTAAAATTAAAAATATCCACAATACAACCTATAAAACCTATACACAATTTTCACAGAAAAGTTTATATGTAATAATTATAATATATAATAGTTACATTGTATTGTAATATATTACATATACAGTAATATATAAAAAAATTACAAAAATATGGTTTGAAAACAACAAAAAACTATCATTAAATACATGATTTTGAACGGATTTTTACTGATTTTCTAATGCTAAATTTTACATGATAAACTTTTTTCTCAGACATCAAATTTTTATGGTGTATTAAGCAGATATATGACTAAAAAATTTAAAAAAAAATTTTTTGAAATTAGGTCCCCCAACAGAGATAATGCACAATGTCTTTTTATAAAATTTCTAACTTTGTAGGCCTATAAATCCCAAGAAAATTGTTTTAAATATTTGAAATTTAGTTGAAACATAGATTATACACTATAGAATACCATATTTAAAAATCACAAAAAAAAAATAACATCTTAATGGTTTTAAGTGAGCTCAAAAACGTCAATTTTCTCAAAAAAAGCACCATTTTTAGAAAGTCATTAAAGTTTGAAATTTCACATAAATTTTTTGTTTTTTTTTTTTAATGTTAACTTTAAGTTATCATAAGGTCAACTCTAAAACTTTAATTAGATTGTGTTAATATTGAATAATCTGTGTGTTTTTTAACGTTCTGGCTATTTTCAACATTTTTTACATTAAAATAGTCATAAAAATCGGAAGGTCATAAAAAAAAAAAAAAAAATTGTTTTAATCTAGTTATAGCATAAATAATAAACCCTGAAAATTTAAGAAAAATATGAGGTGGTCGTGCAACCACTTCTGGATGATTTGGCATGGATTGACCCTTGTTTAAATAAGTATCTTATGGGCTGTCCATAAATATCGTACGCCAAAAATAACTGAAATTTATCCCCCAATCCCTTTGATGATAACAGTAAAGTGGCGTAGCCAGTATTTTTCAATGGGTGGGGGGTAAAAAAAACACATTACTTTTATTAGTAAATTGTTTATCAAATTTAAATAATAATATTTTATTATTAATATAATTTTATATTAATTCTACACAAATTATAGCCAATGGGAAGGCATGGCCCCAAAGCCCTCCTCTGGCTACAAAATCAAACCAACTACCTAGATGGCGTCATCTGTTAGGTTTCAACCTTAATAGTTTTATAGTAGAAATAAAACCGTGAAGTAATGGCACGTAAGAATTGTATTAGTATGACAAGTGTTGTTTGTACACGATTATAAAATTTCAAAATCTGTTTGGTCTGGTTATAAAATTTTACTTAAATAGTATTATATAACAAAATATTGAAATATTAACAAATGCTGGAAAATATAGTTCAAAATTTCTAATTTTTAAAAATGAATTTTTGTAAACGATTGAGTTCGGCAATTTTATTCTAGAAGAATTATTTGCGAAGATGAGAATATTTTTTTTAATACATCGTAAGTATTTGTAATATTTATTGGAAACGCTCAAACACCATAAAGTTTTTCGATGTAAAACCTGAAATTTTTACCAGACCTGTCTAGAGATAATACAAAAAAATCCTGAAATTTTCATTGAATTTTTTTTATTTTTGACGAGGGTTTTTTTTGTCCCAACACTATAAAAGAAGAATGAAATATTTTATATTATTTACATTATGTTAATCACATGTAACAAAAACATTTTATACGTGTTTATTACAAATCCTGATAATTTTCGCTACATTTTAAAAGGCTAACTAAATACAAGGGTATATAATATAATGTATATATTATATAATATAACATAAATATATGGAATTACTTTGTTTAATATTCACACATATCGTTTGTTAGAAAAAAAGTGTCTTTAACAATTTATCAGCTAAATATAAAAAACTTTTTTTTTCTATTTTCATAAACATAAGAAGTTTCATGTTTTACTTCATCATAAAAAAAGCCCAGATTAAAATAAAATTTTTTTTCCTTATCTTCTATACCATTTCTTAAGGTAACTTCTATAAATTCATACATTTTAAACGTTTTAGATAAATGATTATCCTTTATATACCTATTAAGATCATACTCATCATAATTTCTAATTTTATAACTTTGATCAATGCAATAATTTTGAAGTATATGGATCAAATTACAATTTCTCACTTTGTACTCATCATAGAATTTATAATGAATTCGGTTCACATATGCATTGTCATTTTCATTTATTTCTCTGCTTATCAATCCAACAAATTTTATTAATTCATCTAAAGCAAATGGTTTGGTTTTAATATTTAACAAATTCATTAGAAAATGTATTGCACTAATAAAACGTGATATGAGTTTTATGGAATTCTCAATATTTGGTAATAATAAACTCATACAATGCGGGTAATCTTCTGAAGTCTTACGATAATTTTTCAGAAAACAATCACTAACAATTAATTGTACGTGATAAATGATCCAATCTAAACTTCTTATGTACTCATGATTAATAAGTACCATTGTTTCTCTTAACTTTTGATTAACATTATTTTTATCGACGATCAAACGTTTACAACAATTATGTTTATTTATTAGTAGTTCATGCGTGTGAATCCAAGACTTGCTTAAGTGGTCATACACACTTGTCTTTGATAAAATTTGCCACTTGATTTTTTGTAAAAATGAATTTAAAAAGTTAATTGCATACCCTTTATCATACTTTTTGTGTTCACTCGATACGTTCACTGCCAAGATAAATATAAAGATGTTATTATTCATTCTGGTTAATTGATTTTATATGAAATGGATGAGAAATACACTTATTATTTTAAAATACCTATGTCAGTAATAATGTTTAAATTAAGAATTTGTTATTTTTTTCTCATTGCAAAATTAAGTGGTTGATTAATTTATGGGGTACTATATAATGTAAAATAAAACACGTCACAAATTGTCGTAGCATGTTCAGTTGTTATTAACAGTGTGAACAATTCTTTATAATAAATTTACCTTAATGAAATAAAAATATTTTTTCATTTAGATTACATATATATAAATAATAAATAATACATTGAAATGACAGTTTTAAATATTATAAGAATTATTCACATCTAATTTGCCTTATATACAAAATATTATATACCACGAAGTTAAGAATGGACTTTTATTTTAATTATTATAATCTTATTAAGTTCTAGTCTATTACCAGAGTTGAGTATAGATACACAAAATCAAAACTAGCTAAAATAAATACGATTTTAATTTTAGTAGGTTTAGGTTCAGATAAAAATAATTTAATTAATTTTCATCTGGATAAAGACTTGTTTTTATCAAACTAATACGATAGATATTTAACAAGACAATCCTTAAAATTTCAATAAATCCCAATTATGAACTTCGAATAATAATTTTCCTATGTCAAGAAGAAAAATGATCGATTTTTGTAACTTAAGTACACAAATAGTAGAATTCTTGCATTGGAAATAATGGAACAGTGAGGTTTTGCATAAAGTCGAAAGATAATAATAGGATTTTAGTGTTTTAGTCTTCAGTGTCATTTATAAGTTGATTGTGATTTCATAGCCGTTCGCTTAAGAACTATTTTTCAGCAACACGCTTAGAAATTTTTATCTTCACATCCAAAACCACGCAAGTACTGCATATATCAACCTGTGGTGGTCCAAACTTTAAATCATACTGGTTTTTATAATAATTAAAAAAGCTGTTTTACCAATTCTGAAACCAGGGTGCTTATTGTCGTCATCTTAACCTTGTATACATTTTTAATTTTATATTATACAGGGTGATTATTTTATCATAACCCACTCAATTACTTGCAGAATAATAATAATTTAAACTTTTTTTTTTTTAATTATCTTTAGTTACACATTATTCTTCAATTTTTAACTACATAATACTTTTTAAGTTCATCCTTTATGCCTTGGAAGGGGGTCAACTCTGTTTTTTTAAATGGTAACACATATTTTTAATTTAATAAAATGTTTGAGTTGTTAATTCAATATTAAATGGCATTTGAATTTTTAATATAACTTAATTCGTTTATTAGACATAATTATTTAAAGTTTAAGAAATATAAAAATTAAGTGTGTAGCAAAACACAAGAGACAAAATTAATTTAAGTTAACTTGTAATCTTCTCTCCCCAATTAACCTGAATAATAATTCAATAATTAATAAGCGCACGGAATTAAACATCGTGGCTAAACAAAAGAGACTGACCTACGGAGAGCTTTGGGTCACCTGAAATTACAAAAAAAAACCTGAAAAGGGAACACCCTACAGAGAGAAAAATATGAACCAATAATAATAATAATTCTATCTTAATTAATTAAAATCTTCAATGATGGCTTTGACGTTGATGACAAATGGTGATGGCACGGTGTAAATTTACTCCATGACTGTAACAAAAGCTCCAGACTGTAACAGTCCACCAAAAATCATAGACAAACGTCCAGGAACGTGAACGGCAACAGACGGCACTTGTGTGTACATCACGGGAAGGCACGGCAACTCTTGTTTCTAAAACATGGTTTTAGTCAAATAACAATGTCCAAGGGACCGAAATCGTTAAAAATGTTATGAGCCATTAAG